CCACATTGGTTTTGCATTTGCATTTGCTTATTGCATTTGTAGCATTTGACTCTTCTTGTAGTTGCATCTTGAAGTCTGGTATATAGAACTATTATGGGGAAAACAGGACTGTTACGGGTAGCAAAGGATGATGTATCTACTGTTTTTGAATTGTATAATGGACGAGCTACTCCGTTTGGTTATACAGACTTCTTAGTGATCAAGGACATCTATGTTGTAATAGAATGGAAAGTGCCAAATCCATCGGAACTGTTCATTCTCCATCCTCAGAAGTTTTAGCTGCGGATGAGACGAATAACCTCCGAAGAGAAGAGGTTTTGCATTTGCTTATTGCATTTGTAGCATTTGACTCTTCTTGTAGTTGCATAGATTGCATGCTTATAGATGAAGTCTGGTATATAGGACTATTATGGGGAAAACAGGACTGTTACGGGTAGCGAAGGATGATGTATCTACTGTTTTTGAATTGTATAATGGACGAGCTACTCCGTTTGGTTATACAGACTTCTTAGTGATCAAGGACATCTATGTTGTAGACCCTGAACGTCATAGTCCACAAATGAACTATAAAAGAAAGACTATGAGATACATTTGTTCAAGGATGTCAAATATCTGGGACTGGATCGCTTGAAAAAACATTCAGACTAGTCGCATATTGGCAGCTCGGTGAATTAGTGATCTATTCGTTGAACGAACATCTTTTACTGATATCAAACATGTTGGAATTTGTTACTTGTCGCAACTGAATGTTCACTTGTATATGCGTTCTCATAATGTGTTCTATTTTTGTGATTGAAGAGTTGGCAGTGTGGGGTTAGACCAAGAAATAAAGAAAAAATGCGTAAGTAGCATCGATACTTGCCAAACTCTTCTATGAAAACCGTTGGGGCTGAAATCAAGCAAGATGTATTGCTAATGATAGCATATGCACCTTCATTTTGGTGGCCAAAAGTGAAACAAGCTCTTGCTGTTCATAAACCAAACAGAATTCGGAGTTTTCCTTGTTTGGGATGGAAGGAATCGAGTAGCAATGGAAGTCTCACTCAGTCTACTCCTTATACTACTTATGATAACTGTAATTTATGAATCTGGATGCTTTCATGTGATTAATTGATCTTCCATTATCAATATCCATCAATAGGTACTTATTATTTCGTGGCAAAATAATTTTCATCATCACCTCGTATACTTCCATCGAACCTCGATATTTATGCCTCCATAATCAGAGTTGCAGCAACCCAGATGTCGAATAAACGCAATCACATAAATTGAGAACTTTGCGAGTCCAATATGCATTAAACAAATTTCACTTTTGTGATAAATCACCGAGTAAAAACTGGTTCAGCAAGTTTGTGTCTCATATCAAAAGATACCGATATGGGAGGTATGATAAAAAAAATAATAAGTGTACGGAACGTCTAGATAGATGCATAAACAAGTTTCTTGGGCTCGCTGTCAACATGGAAGTTTATATTTATTATCTCCGTCTTGCCTTCTGTCAGTTTAATTTCGTAAGGCGCATACTCAAATCAGACTATGTTTTTCTCTGGTTACTTCACTGCGAAATATTTTTGATTCATTCTTTGTGCGAATCAATTTGATAGAGCCCTCTTTAGACAAATGGCCAGTAGACCTACGATTTTGTGAGTACTTGTGGTAGATACTCGACTGAGTAACAACAACAACAACAACAAACCCGGCAAACGCTGCGCGCTCCTGGAGTAAAACTATTAGATCTTCCATTTGGAAGATTCGTCGTGAGTACTTCACATAATTGAGAAGCTGAAATTTATTTTATTTGGTCAGGATGACCACCGACAGACCGACTTCGGAATACTACATCCTCGTTAGGTTATTCCAGATGGAGTAAACCGTCTCTATATCGCGAACAAACAAAATTACTTCTCACCAGTTATGAGCTCTGCCTGCAGTTGATTAGATAAGATGAACGTCGCTCCATATGTAGGCAAAGTCGGATAGCAACTCCACAAACACATGCTACGGGATGGGAGTCAAATCAATGGCTTGTTTCAACTGGAATGCACTCTATGATAGAAAAAGGTTTGAAGATAATGTGGGTCTCTTGGGGACACCAATGATAATGGTAAATATATCCAAAAGAGCACCATCGATGGCAACTTGATGAAAATCTTTGAGGAAGCTGGGGAGCCATGCACAAAGATGATCTGATAAGTTATACCAACTACTTTCAATTAGTGAACCCTGATGTCAGACAGTCGGAGGCTACGAAAATATCGAGCGAAACAACTCGACAGTTCTCGTGTTTTTCGATCGCAAAATGGATTTCAATACCAATTTTGTGGAATAATTTATCTTTTGCCTCAAAATAGGCCTCAGTTTGAGCAATTAGATCTCCATTCGAGCGAAATTTCTTTCCGTTGAGCATATTTTTGAGGTCTGCGAACAGCCAGTAGTAGCTGGGAGCCAAATCTAGCGAATACGGTGGTGTGTGCCTTGATTGACTTGTGACATGGCCAAGAACAACACCGTAATCATGCCTCAGCAATCGTATTCACCGGACTTGGTTCCGTGCAACTTTTTTCCATTCCCAAGATTGAAGAGACCCATGAAAGGACGGCGTTTTGCGACTGATCATCACCTAAGATATTGCTGCATTCCAAATATTCAAGAATGTGTTAACAATGATGTGTCATTTATTGAAAAACGTATTATATCCATCTGTATTAACGATTGTATCCTCTGTACTCCTGCAGCTGCAGTTAAATATTAAAAATCAATGTGGAAGTGGAAATTTTCAAGGCTTGTTCCACTCGTTTAGAGTTAAAATGATTTGCCTGAGTAACTTCTACAGTCACAAAAATCGTTCACTCAAATTAAATATAACTAAATGACCATTATAAAGTAAACCATATAACGTATCCTATAAAATATATTGGACAATTCCCATTGAATTGGTTCAACAGGAAAATCGATGAATTGAAATCGGATGGCATGAAATTGAACGAACACGATATATGTGTATTTAATATGCTTTGACATACATAATTGACCATTGTCCGTCAATGGACGTAGTAGTGGTTTGAAGAAAAAATTGCAATGAATTATCAAAGATCGTCATCGGAAAGAACGTTATATTTCAAGACGAGTTTTAGAAATGGGGTTAAAGTTTAATTCAAGTGGAGTGGAAATTGTGATGAGAAAATGAATTTTTTGTGATCGTTCAGACGATGGTGACTTTTCCAAAATCAGTGTTGCAGAAAATGTATCTCACACAATTAGCTCTGGAAAATTCATCGGTGGTTAATAGAAATTTGATAAAAATGTAAACTTATAAATGCTAGTCACTCAATCAACACTTACTCATTCGTCTCTATTTCTCCGTACTGGTGGGTGCTAGGAAGCTGTATCTGTAGAGTGGGGAGAGTGAGTGTCGGCCCACAGCACTTAGTCCACATGTGAAGCATAGTACATCCTCCCGAGGAGTTATTCTCCTAGGTCATCATCCATCATGTCCTTTCCAGGAAAGTGGACAGGTCAGTGGGAGACATATCCTTCATATCGGCAGGTCTAGGCCAAGACTCGCCGAGTACACACTCTCTCATTGACGATAACACCGGGTACTCGCTTAGGACATGCCCGATAGTCTCATCTTCCTGTTCATACATCTCGCATAAAGATGAGTACACTAGCCCAATATTATGAAGGTGTTTCTTCAATTGACAGTGGGCATTCAAAAATCCTACTGTTAAGCGTAGATTCTTCCTGGTCATCGCCAAATATTTCTTCGGCGCCAGCTTTCCAGGGTCGCCCAGGGTGATCCTGGCAATATTGCATCTTTTTATTCCATTCCATCTTTTTTGGGATTGAGCATAATGGCATTTATTCCTATTCAATTTTAGATTATGTTGCGCAGCTGAATTAGAAATGATTTGTAGGTCGAAATTGATGAGGTTTTGAATAGTTCCATTGTCGTAGATGTTTGAGTTGGTATACAATTGCGTATCATCCGCATAGGCCTGAACTTTTGAGTGCTTCGTAGAATTCAAGATGTCACTGGTGTAGATTATAAAGAGTAAAGGTCCTAAGATTGACCCTTGAGGCACACCAGAAGTAACATTTTGAGTTGACGACATTCAATTATTATAATATACCGTTTGACAGCGATTCGTTAGTTATGAAAATAGTAGCAAGACTATCTCATCCGAGAATTCATAATATTTCAATTTGAAACATAATAGAGAATGTTTCATAGTATCAAATGCCTTCGAAAAATCTAAGGCAACTAGAGCTGTCAACTCTTTATTATCAGAGTTTCGAATTATGTCATCTGTAACCTGTTGTCAGTGCAGATTGTTATGTTTCTGCTTGAAATTCCTTTCCTGATTATTTCTTTTGTGGCGATTGAGATACCAGCTAGTTCTGTTTGGACCACACTGGTATTCATTCCCCACTCAATCCTTAGGCCATGTGATCTAGAGTACACTCCACATCCTGAGCCTTCTTTAGTTTTTGAGCCGTCTGTATATAAGCGTATTGCATTTGTAGCACCTGACTCTGTGTTCTGTTTTATTTGTATTTTGTAGGGTTCATTAAACACATGAATCACATGATCACTTATGATCATTATACCATAACCACATATGATCACTTGGTGATCATATGTGGTTATTTGTCGCTCTAGAGTGACCTTTAAAGAAAACATGTTTGTTTTGTCTATTAACAATAAACTATGAACGTTGTTCAACTAAAACATGTCTTAGTGGTATTTTGGATGAATATGAGGAAGATTTATGGCTTTCAGTACCCTATAATGAAAAATATTATGGGAAACTTGGGAAAGGTTTATTTCCCAGAATTGTTTCATTCAAGAATATTTGGAATCGATAAACATTTTTATTGAAAATATTTTTTGAACACATCAACTGAAAATACTACAATATAAAGAAATACACATGTACTTGGAGTACAATGCTCAATAACTGGCTTCCTCAATGATCCGTCACCAATTTGACAACGTCAACCGTCTTGACAATAAAATGGCATTTACAAATTCAGAATCACCAAAAACTCTCCTGAAAATTATCAGTAACACTTTCCATAAAATAGTTAATGCCCAATCGCAAAAATCAAAATGAGCCATCTCCAACACAAGAAAAAATCAATGCCGGTCTAAAAAAATTCATGGACGCGCATCAGCGCCTCTTCCCGATCAAAGAAGAAGATCCTAGCGATCTCAACATCGATTCATCTGGGAGTGAGGCATCCGTATCAGTAGCAGCAGAATTCACAGCAACTGACAAACTGTTTGCAATTATAGCAGATGAAGATACTTGCGTCGGGTATATTCTGGCAGGGATAGGACAGGTGGATGAATACGAAAAACCGAATTATTTTGTTGTGGCTGAGAAGACGATGGATATAGATATTGAAAGGGCGCTGAACGATTTCCTTCAACGTAGGGATGTTGCGATAGTTCTGATACAGAAGGAAGCAGCGGTTAGAGTTCATCATACGATACACAGGTGCGTTCTAAGGTTTCGAATGAAATTACAATTACATGCGACTTTTTGTCAGTTGACGATGAGTTTTCATTCTGAGATATGATAATAACGATGATTAAAGTCTTCATAAACATTAATTTTCAAATATCAATATATTTAGCTCAGTTGACATTATATGGTGTCAAAGGCGGAGTTTAACAATCTCTAGGGAACCTGACAACATAAACTTTGCTGCTTCAGACCCAGATGGACTGAACACTTATTGGTGGATAAACTACCAAACACCCACCGCCATCCGGCTAGAGTGTTCAAACCATGGCTGGATGGAAAGCAGCCTGTTCCTGATTGATTTGTCAAAGGGTAGACCGTTCTCATCTCCAAAATTGGAGATTTGGCAATTCTTTAGGATTATACACCAATGGCTTGCTTGCATTCGTGTTGTGAGTTGTTTATGAGCAACGCATGCATAAGAACAATCAGCGCGGTTGACCGGGTATTTGCACACATATATTAGAAGAGTGGGTTGGAGAGAGAAGTCTTTGTAGATGGATATCTCCCGAATAATTTTACCATCAAAGTTGGTGTTTTCCAGGGATCCATATTGTCTCCAACGCTTTTTTTGTATATCAATGACTTATTGGAGAAACCCAAGCATCCAATATATTGCTTTGCTGATGACAGCACACTTGTCTCGTCATCCCATTTGGATTCTAGAAAATCGGCTACGGAGGTGCAGCTGTGCCAAGACATATTGGATACACCAATATGTCTTGGCACAGTCATGTAGCTGGAATTACAAAGTCTGCTTCTCAAAAGCTTGGACCACCAGAACCAGAAAACTGTACACACCTCAGCAACTTTTGTTGCTTCATAAAGCTCAGATCAATCCGTTTTTTGAGTATTGTTTACACGTATGGAGCTCTGCTCCTAAGCATACCCTGAATCTGCTGGATTCCATCCTGAAAATAGTATTTCGCCTGATTGAAGACGCGATCATCACTTGCATCTTCGATAGTCTGGAACATCGAAGAAAGGTTGGACATTTGTCTGTGTTTTATAGATACTTTTATAGGAGATGTTTAAGTGACTTGGCATATTTGATTCCACCAAAAGCAGTACATATCACAAATACTGATCGTTTTGGGGTTCAACTCAGTATATCTCGAATTTCACTGTTCAAGAACTCTATCATTTGGAGAACTGCCTTTATGTGAAATAAACTTCCTAATAAAGTTTTTCCAAATGAATTTAATCTTCACTGATTCAAATCCAACGTGAATTGCTACTTTCGCAGAGGCACTGCTTTTTTCAAAGCGCCTTGAGGATTTTCCTGTAGTGCATGTATTTTGTCCTGAAAAAACCTGCTCATCAGGCATCATCAGGCTAGGGTCCAAAGAGCGCCACTTGCAGTAGAGCCATATTTCAGGGTTATTCCCCCAGTTCCCTTCTTTTCTGCATCATACTATTGCTCAGTACTCCAGGGTATAACTGTGGTACCCTCGGAAACCGGAGACATGATGTCACCCATTTGTATTTGAACTATATGCCTCTGTAGAAAAGTATCTCCATCAATCATTGAGGGTGGTGGATGAAAACACGCATGTTATTGGTATGGAAATCTTGCAATGGTCCATCTCTAATGAGGACGATGCGGGGATTCCGGATGGGATGTGCAACTGGTAGATAGATGGTGGATGCTGGAGAGACGTTTACTTACCTCTGGGTTGAAAAACGTCTCTCACAAGAGGTAAGAGCAGTAAAGAACTCTCTCTACAGCATTAGTATCAGTACAAATCTTGACATATCTGGTCATTCGAACCGTCAGATCGAAGTAGCTGATATGCGTTACTCGTTTGGAGTAGTGAAGTGCACTCGTAAAGGGTGGTACTAACTCGAGGTAAAGACCCGAAAAATTATGAACTACGGTTGTACTTCTCGCGACAAGAGGTAGTCCATGGACTTTCGAGTTTATGACAATGGTACTGGATGGAGCCTGTAAAGTCATCAGGAGTTTAGATCTCCTCTTCACGGCTCGTGACCATGAGCTAGCGGAAATTGAGGCGTTTCTCTTTAGGGCAGCTACCCGAGTTGCTGATATGAATTCGGTTTAGGTTTGGATATCAAACGAGGTGATGATTCTGAACCCCTCCAGAAGAAGACACTGTATGGTGCCAATTGAAGACTTAGGCGTATCAAAGCATCTGAGCTTTGCTCTCCTCAGTGGACTGAAGTCAGAAGCTGAGGGGTTCATCATGACCTGCTAGTATGGTGTCTTAACTCTATAGTCTAATGGTAACTGATACCTGAACTGAAATATTCGATTGAATTGTTAAAAATAGATATGTCAAGAATGGAAAAAAAACCAGAATAGTGTGAAATTGAAAAAATGTGAGAATGCTGTTAATTTGTAGAATTTGTAACCTTAACTGAGAATAAATCAATAATCGACAGGAGATATTGTTATTGTTTATAGAACATTAACTTGTGAAAAGTATTTTTTTAATAATTTCGTATGATTGCACTTTCTTATAGACACAGGAGACAGTTACCAGTAATCATGGAGATTCCTGGAAAAAATGGTCCGTATGAGATAAGCATCGATCATATTTTAGAAATTGCTGAAGCTAACGAACAGGAGAGGGAAGAGAAGTTACAAGATACTAGAAAGAGTATTGTGGAAAAAAGGCTTTCCACTATATCGGAAAAGAAAGAAACCCGCAAAAGTGTTTCTAGCGGTCGTGGCTCGTTCAGTTCTGAATACGTTTGATAAAATTGACAACAAAATGATTCATATAATTCATGTATTTGATAGATGGAAGAATGGAAACAAAAGCTGAACAATAAATTGAAATTATTATCAAATTTAAAGTGGTCGTTTTTTAACAACAGTACTCTCACAATATTTCACCGATAAATTTCCATTTTTAACGAAAACTTTGTTATCTAGTGACACCATGAAAACAACCACCATAATAAAACCACGAAACTTTCATCATTGAGGGGTATTATGCGAAGAAATAAGTTTTCCATGTGTATAACGGTGTTACAGCAACCTTAACATCATTAACCCATTCTTGATATCTGAAGTTGGTTCACTTTGAACTCTGGCTGTATACATTGTTTTCTTGACATAATCCTAGAATTTGATACCTTTGGGGTTGAGTTGCATCTCTGTCAGGTCAATTTTGACGTTAATTCAACCCTCTTCCAATATTGATCCAATTAAGCCAATAGTTCGTGTTTCCCAGAAGGTTGTACTTGTACAAGTTAACGTCATCATTTTATATTGCAAACTTGCAGCAGATGATTTTGGTTTTCGGTAAAAGAGTGAATATATATTTGTTATAACTTTTCATTTTTTCATGTGAATTTATATTACTTGAAATTTAATTGTTAGACAATACATTTCACTGTCTCAGTTTTTGAAAAACATTCTATAATTGTCAATTATATGGATACAACAAGGAATCTTCAAAGACAGGTTCTGGCTTTTTACTTGTTCATCTTCATGAAAAAAGTGTGGGAAACTTCGAATGGAGGAAATAAAACAAATTATGACAAAATAACTTCATAAAATTCGTTGTGTACTTAAAAGAGTGAAGATATGAAATTTCACCTATTCGGAACGCTATCATCCTCAATTGTGTACTTCAAAGTATCGTAACAAGACACTTGTCATATTTCACCATCACCAACTTTTTCGATGATATTACAAGAAGGGGCTTTCATTTCTTTCGTAACATTAAAACTTTTTGTTAACGGAATAGACAACTCTGCTTTTACCATGATGACAGTACGCATAAACATTCATATGGTTACTTGATTTAATACCATAATTGAACTACGAAATACATCATAGCGAATAAGAGTATTCCATCTAAGTGATAGTATATCAATACTTTTGGGTACAAACTTGGGGTACAAACTGAATGAGTACAATGAAAGTAGTTTCAAATAGACTTTTTGATTCGTGTAATTATTGAAAGTAGTTCAGTGACGATCACAGTTAGTATCAACATAAGGGCGGAGATCTGGAAGACCCCTCAAATCCCAGCCTCATTTCTTTATTATAGACCCTTTCAAAAATAATTGAGAGATTGGTGCTTCTCATCGATAAACAATGTACTATCTAGCCTTCAGTTCAGCTTTCATAGTTCCAAAAATACCACAGATGCTATTTTCCCCTTTCTGGAGAATGCATACTCTAGCATAAATGATGGCAAGGCTGTTGCAGCAGTGTTTTGTGATTTCTCGAGAGCTTTCAATTACGTTGATCATAAGACACTGCTGCGGAAGCTCAGCCATTATGGAATAAGAGAAACAAATTTGACATGGTTTGGTTCTTTTTGACAGGTGGTGATAACATCAAGTGGACAGTCTGATCTCACTGACATGAAACATGGAGTACCTCAGGGGTCTGTTTTAGAACCAATGTTGTTTTCAATATACTTGAATGACCTAATAACCATTAACATCGTAGGACAATTTACTGTATTTGCCGACGATGTCACTATTATATAAAGTAATAAAGAAATTATTCAGCTATCAAATATGATGAAAATAGATATTCTAAAAATTCAATCCTGGTGTAACGCGAACTCCTTGTGCTTCAACCTAAACAAAACAAAACTAGTTACTTTCAAATGTAAACTAGACGATTCAGATTTGGATAACCACTACATGTTCACCTCAACTCATCTGTCTTCTTAATGTTTCATTTGTGAAATTGCAATGTTTGAATTTTTCATATTTCATATCATGTATTGCATTTTGTATTTTTTATAATTTATGACATGCATTTGATTTTTTACAAGACTTTGTCAATAAGATACTAATCTTCCGGCAATAAAGCATATTTACATTGATTGATTGATTGGAACATTCATACGGTCGGTAAGCAAATTTGATACCAGTTGAAGGAATCGAAAAAACTATATTTTTAGAAGAGATTAGATCCAAAAAAAACCTTTTTGTCTTTCTTATTTTTCCGTTCTTTTAGCTGACCCCACTATTGCTATCGCGGAAACGGCAAGACTTACAAGCTCGGTTATATCGGACAAAAGTTTCCTATTTTGGGGAACTACAATAATCTTTTTCGAGATCGAGAATACCAATGATTGTTTTTGCAATAATCGCCAAAAACTAGAACTGTTGAATTTTTTGGTTCTACCGCCTCCATTTCAAAAAAAAGCAAGACAACTTTCAATCCTGTTTCATAATTGCTACCTATAATCTAGTATGAACAAATTTGCCATGCAACGTTTCGTTGATTAGATTTCATCATCACTTTTTTTTGAGTACGGCTACACAATGGAATAAAAATAAAAATTGAAATATCTGAGATGTCCACTGATTCCTCACAACAGATTCTCTCTGTACAGTAAATAGCCTGCAGTTGTTTTTTTGTGGTTTATCTTCATCTAGGAACTTATAGCCTTGGACATTATGCGCTTCCTGAAATTCAGATAAGTTGTCTCGGTTTCTCCCACTACATCGTTATCTTTTTCATGAAAAAATGAATGCATTTCTATCAGAGTGTTATTACTTTCAGAAAGTGAAAGGAACAGTGGCGTACCGAATGAGCTCAAAGACTAATCACTGAGCCTTTCTGCAGCTTGACGGGCTAGTAAAAAAAATATCTATGAATAGAAACGTCTGTGAGAATGTTCCAAAGCCGTGCACAAATTCACATCGATCAGATTAACATATTCGACAGTTGAATCAAATATTGAACAATGCACTGATGAATTTCATTGTGAATACTAATATTCGAAACGTCCTAAAGTAACTTGGCTTGGAATCTCTGGGAATATCTTGATTCTTAATTCTTTTTCAACTGTTCTATTTCTAACTTGAATTTTATTCATCTGTAATTTCATTTCAGAGTTTTTTTTCTCGATGAATTTGTTATTTTTGGCTATTCTTTTAATAATTGAATAGAACAGGCCGATACTTATTCTATGATTTTCACTATAAGGGTTTTACAAAAACCGCGACACGTGTTTTGCTATACTCCAGCTTCTTCAAGCTTCTTCAACTAAGAGTTCTAAATTACAGCCTTATATACTATAACCTAGTACCTATTCGTCTACCTAAGTTATAAATCTACCTGAAAAAATATACCTGAAAAAGTCAGGTATCAATACATTTTTCGAAAGTCTACCTGGAAATATACCTAACAATTATTACCTGCGTATGAACAGGGGTTTCGTATTCATGGTTGAACTCATGTCCCTCTGAGATTAGATGACTGGCATATGTGGAATTTACTTTTCCGTTCTGAAAACTATATTTGTGTTCCTTCATGCGAGTTTTGAACGTTCTTCCAGTTTGACCTATATAAAACATCGGACATGACCCACACGATAATATATACACTCCTGATTTTTCTGAAATACTATATAGTTTNGGTGGTACCGATATATACCTTCCCACAAGTGCACGGTATGGGATATACTCCTGCTGCTGATAGTGGGTCTCTTTTGTCTTTAGCCGACTTGGGGTTCAGTTGTATCTTCTTGTTGAGTTTGAAAACCGTTTTGTTGTTGTATTTCCCCAAGAGTTTTACAATTCTGTCTGTGAATCTAGGGATATATGGTAGATATGAAAAGTTGTCAAACTTGATGCAAAGTTCATCTAGTTTCAACGGGGCTTTCCAAACTATACAGAAAACTGCTACATAACAATTCACTTTTATAGGAAAATAAGTTTTATAAGTTAGTTGTAAAAACGTTTCTGTGATAATTTCCTGACTATTTTATAATGGTTTTTTGATTTTATTTCATAAACATTTCTATGACAAATTTATAAAACACTTTTATTGCCTACAACTGTATTGTGTTCACGGATCATCTAATACAATCAATTAGCATTTTGGAAGTAATTATAAAATACTAATAAAATAAAACTGTTGCAACACCATGGAATTGTAAAACAACTTTGCTGGTTGGGGTTTTTGTAAAACCCTTATAGTGAAAATCATAGAATAAACTCTATTGATTAGTTTTTTTTATTCTTTTCAATTTTATATTTCTATTGGTTCTTTTTCATCCATCATTACTAACCTATTTTTGTCTCCAGCATTATTCAACTGATTTTTTATTGATCATATCTCAAATATTACCTTTCATTTTGAAATAATGCCAAAATTTGCAGTGGAATGAAATATTCTTAGTAATCAAATGAAACAATCACGAAATTCTTCAAAATCTAATAATAACCACGTGTACGACAATACATAAATAGAAAAGTGAATGGGACTGAGTAAAGCGCATTCGGTATACAATAGCGTTACTCCGAAAAATATATATATCAAAAAGTGCTTTATACTTTTAGAATACATTGAAAGTTTCCAGTCGTCCTTAAGCTGTTTTGAATACGAAAATAAAGTTAACCCTAAGAAAACCCACGATTTATTAAATATATTTGAATTTTGTCGATAGTGTAGAGTGCTCTCCACAGCCAAGGGATGTTTTTTCGGAATTCCTTTGTGATATACCGAAAGTGGAAAAATACGGAATTGCACGTATCCCAAAAATGATTGTGGAAAAATTATTTTTCGTTTTGGTGAGTTCAACAAAGATTTATTGGTGATCCAACATAATTATTCAAATGCTCCTCTTATCATGTTGGTGAAATTTTTTTCTTCGTACTTACTTTATTCTCCATACATCCTCCTACTGATTTGATGTACATCGATTATCCATTGTGTTATTTTTCGATGAAAGTAATCCAAATGGAAATGGTTGTTCGATTTTAACGAGAATGTATTTGTTTCAGGTAAGAAATCGATCGTCTATTATCCTGGGTATGTTTGAACGTAAGTGAAATCATGAAATTCAACATTGCAAAGCTCGTGATTGGAATAT